GTTATGCCTCCAACTTTACCTTCAGCTACACCTCCGCTGGTTCCCCCGCCTCTCTCATCAGTTTCTCAGTTATCTAATTCCTCTGGTCCTTCAGGATCCAGTTCTCAAAGCAGTCAATCTACTGAGACACCAAGGCCAGCTCTGCTTCCCACTCCTGGTACCTATGCATCAAAAGTAGCTAGTTCAACTGTCTATTCACCTTACCATTCTCAAGTAAGTTCATCCTTTGGCTCTTCAGACCACGGAAAGTCTCAAGCTCATCTTAGTAAGCAAACTGTCTCTATTTCGTCTGAGCAAGGATGTGGGGAACTGAAAGCCACTTCTGCAGCGTCTTCAACACATGCACCTACCATGCAGGATAAACCAGTGAGGTCGGGTGGGTTGCTTCCAGATCCTCCCAGATCAGCACGTTTTGAAGGCCCCAGAGGCCCTAGGTAAGGATGTGTTTATTGGTTTATACACGTTCCAGGCTACAAGACTTTCAGTGATGTATTAAGAAATGAAACATATATCTCATTCTCAAATCTTCTTGAGGTCGTGTGAAGTGTGCTTGTTTGGAGGTTTTGGTTTTGTCATATGTACACATGCTCTGTATTTATCTTATTAAAGCAAGGATAGATAGGTGCCGTTCACCTGAGCGTTATCTAGAGTAAAATGCGTTTTTTTTTCTAGTAAAATGCTTGGACATACTGCACCCTTTTCATTCCCAGAGACACAATATCCTTTTTGTGAAAATAGGAAAGCTGTGGTAAATACTTGAATGTCTTTGCTGTCCTTAGTTTGAAGATAACTCACACTTGAAAGAGCAATTCTATATGAAAAGTGATCTGAATTCTCATCATTTTTTCTGTGGTATTTGGAACACAGTTTAGAAAATCTAAAGCAAAAACATTGAAGAATTGTTTTTAAGGTGTTGCTGTATATAGTGGCACTTTAATGTAGGCATTCTGAAAGGGATTCAGAAAAGTATTCAGATATATATTCAGTTGACTATACTGATGTAGCTAATTACTGGCAATTCAGGTGCTATTTATTTTTTAGAAACAATAAAAAGTACTCTTTGTAATCCAACCAGTCACCAGTGGGGTTCCCCAGGGCTCAGTGCTCGGTCCAGTTCTGTTTAACATCTTTATCAATGACCTGGATGAGGGGACTGAATGTACCCTCAGTAAATTTGCGAACAACACCAAGCTGGGAGGCTGTGTTGATCTGCTCGAGGGTAGGGAGGCCCTTCAGAGGGATTTGAACAGACTGGATCGTTGGGCTGAGGCCAATGGCATGAGCTTTAATAAGGCCAAGTGCAGAGTCCTTCACTTGGGGTATAAAAACCCCAAGCATCACTATAGGCTCGGGGAAGAGTGGCTGGAGAGCTGCCTGGCGGAGAAGGACCTGGGGGTCTTGGTTGACTACCGGCTTGATATGAGCCAGCGGTGTGCCCAGGTGGCCAAAAAGGCCAATGGGATACTGGCGTGTATCAAGAATAGTGTGACCAGCAGGAGCAGGGAAGTGATCCTGCCCCTGTACTCGGCACTGGTGAGGCCGCACCTGGAATATTGTGTCCAGTTTTGGGCCCCTCGCTTTAAGAGAGATATTGAGCTCCTGGAGCGGGTCCAAAGAAGGGCGACTAAACTGGTCAAGGGGCTGGAAAATAAAACTTATGAGGAGCGGCTGAGAGAGTTGGGGCTGTTTAGCCTGGAGAAGAGGAGGCTGAGGGGAGACCTGATTACAGCCTACAAATACTTGAGAAGGGATGGTGGGGAGGTGGGGGAAGGGCTTTTTACGTTAGTAATGGGTGATAGAACAAGAGGAAATGGGTATAAGCTTAGTCAGGGGAGATTCAGGTTGGATGTTAGAAAGTATTTCTTCTCTGAAAGGGTTGTCAGCCACTGGAATAGGCTGTCCAGGGAGGTGGTTGAGTCCCCATCCCTGGATGTGTGTTTAAGAATAGGGTGGATGATCTACTTAGGGATATGGTTTAATGGGGATTAGGGACGGTTGGACTCGATGATCTCTAAGGTCTTTTCCAACCTAGAAATCTATGAACATTTATTACAGAAAGAAATGAAAATTCAAAGCTCTTCACTAGTGCTTTAAAGAGTTCTTTAGCTGCGTGATTGTCCTATTTAGGGCACTTTTCAAAACATCAGTTTGGTAGCAGAGGTAGTGCTTGTCTTAAGTTCAAATCAATGGTTTTCTACACATGTGGCATTACTTAGCATTCAGACAATTATAAGCAAGAGAGGAGAGAAATTAAGATTTGAGCCTTAGGATGCTAGCATTAGGGTTCTTTGATGCTTTTTCTTTTGCATTACATCGTGGTGGTCTTGGTTTTGAAGATTACTGTCTTTATCTTTCAGCAAGATACAGTTTTGTTCAAATTTAAATGTTCGTTTTATCAGGTGGATGTAAAGCTACTCTAAAAGCCAGTGTTCTGTGTCTTTTATGTGGTTTTATACCTGCTATATAGTTTAATCCAAAATCTTGGTTTTAGAATGTTTTTCTTTCATACTTGACGTGATACCAGGTTGCAAAACCAGCATCTGTCCTGTCTGGTCATTAGTTCAAGATGGGTAGATATGATGCCTACTGAATCAAAGAACAGTGTTGCTCTATTCAGTTGTTTCTATCCTTGCGTACTCTACTAGACTTTACTATCATATCTTCCTGTTTATTTCCCTTCTCTTTGCTTCCAAAGTGATCATTAATGCTAGCAATTAATGAATTATTATTCAATGTAAATCGATTTTTTTATACCTTTGAATAATTCTCTACCTCCTGATGGTTTTTAAAAAGTGTTGTTTCTGGTCCTGGGGTTTTGTTGGATGTACAGTTCTGAACAGACTGTTTTCATGATTTGCTAGTGCATGTCTTTTATGTGTATTAGTTTAGAGTTCAGTGCTGTGCGATGGTAGGCTATGGATAATCAAAAATTTTTAGAATGCACATACAGGAGCTCTGGTTTTGAGCATACTTACAGCATTTATTTAACACTGTAACCATTGCTCATTCCTATACTGTGATAGCATGACCCTTCTAGGGTTTTATCAAAGCTTTCCCAGAAATCTGTTCACTCTTTCTTCTCAATATAGTTAGCAAAAAAGAGAGTCCTAATAAATTTTTAACTGAACTTGGGATAAATTAAAAGTAGTGTGTGTTATGTGCTGCCATCCCAGTTAAAAAGTCTCAGGTAATGACTAGACATATAAACAGACACACCCCCCCTTCACCTCTTTTCAGCAATTAACTTTTCTCAAGAAACTCTAAAGAACTGTCTTAAACTAATTTTCAGAATTTTGGGGATGAAGCTTGACTTACAGTATCCAACCTTCCAGCCATACCTTCCATGTAAAAGTTGATCCTTCAAATCTAAGTTATGTTGCCACTGCGCTTTGTAATTTCTTCTTTTTTCCTGTTCATCTTCACCTGCCTCTACCCCCAAAAAAGGCAGTTTACTGTGTCAACTTATCGAGATTATTAAAATTCTTTGAGGTTGTGTAAATGATCTTGTTTGGTAAATGGCTCACTGAAACAGTAAATTCTGTAACAAGTCAACTGCTGTTGTTAACTAGACAGCAATGAACTAATATCAAGAGAATCATAGAATAGTTTGCGTTGGAAGGGACCTTTAAAGGTCATCTAGTCCAGCCTCCCTTGCCATGAGCAAGGACATCTTCAACTAGATCAAGTTGCTCAGAGCCCTGTCCAACCTGACTGTGAACATTTCCAGGGATGGTCCTCATATTCAAGCAATAGCAGTTGTAGGTGCTCTCAAAGGAATTTAAAAAGTGATGCAATAAAAATGTATTTGTGTTAGGCATATTATCTTGCATGGAGCTGGGCGATATCACAGTCTGCTGCACTTTCTGAAAGGACCTGTATTTAAAGATTTTTGTAGATGGCATTCATCACCATAGTTAAGCAGACTTGTTGCATACTATTAAAATAAAATTTCAACAGGAGTTGTTGATTGCAACAAAACTTCTGTTAAACAAATATTGAAAGCTTTTTTTTTTTCCAAATGAGTTTGCCAGATTTCTTAGTCAGGTTTCAGTCCTGAAATATTTAAACCAGATTTCCTTTAAGGGTTACATAATCTGCGAGTGGCTTAAACTGCTCTTCAGTGGACACTATTGAATTGAAGAATATGTCTCTGCATCTGCACTGATTAAGTAGGGATTGATCCTAAGGCACACTAGGATTCATCAGTTAGAAGTGACTTTTGAGGGGTATGAAACTTTCTTTTAGAGGATTTTAATTTGTCATGTTCCATTTGAATAAAATTGCCATTATGTCATCTATAGATTTGATGGACCTCGAGGAAGAGGATATGACAAATTTGAAGGCTCAAGACAGAGAGGGCCTCGTTTTGACTCCCACCGCTCAGAAGGATACAGGTCACGTTTCGACCGACAGAATACAGATGGGCAGTCTTCAAGTAGATGGGGGACTATCCCACGAGGGCCAGCAGCACAATTTTATACTTCGACACATGCGTCCCATGGACATGGTTCCCGACCTGGTGGTCCACGGTGGAGGGGGCCCAGGCCTCATTTGGGACAGCAGCAGCAACAGCAGCAACAGTCACAGACAGACTCACAGCCTGAAAACAAAGAACCTTTTACAGACGTAGCTGGCAATCAGCAGACTGTAAGCAGAACACAGTCTACTCCCGATGAGCAGAGTGCAGGTCCCATTGAGCCAAACGAGGACCTGACAAACACTCAACAGGAACCATCCAAACCTGAAGTCAAAGAAACTACTTCAGACCCTCCTAAAAAGTGGACATGGAGTTCACATGATCCTAACCAGCAAGTAGAAGAGTCCAAAGCACCTACTCCACCTATTCAGAACCAGAAATCGACATCCCTTTCTAGTAACCCTGTAGCTTTGCAGTCAGATATTGCAAGAACAGGTGGTGCGGTAACCCCTGTAACAGGTAATCAGGATTTGGATTCACCAGATAGCCAGCTGATTGATTCAGATAGCACCCAGGACCTACCTGGACCAGAAAGCGGAGGGAAAGGGACTTTTATGCATGAAGACAGAGGCAAGGGACCAGTAAACAGAGGAAGGGGACAGGGCAGACTGGATGATGGCCGTGGCAGAGGACAAGGGGATGGCCGTGGCTGGGGAATGGGCCGTGGCCGGGGGATGGGAAGGATGGATGGTGGCCGAGGGATGGGAAGGATGGATGGTGGCCGGGGAATGGGAAGGATGGACGGTGGTTGGGGAATGGGCAGGATGGATGATGGCCATGGCCGGGGAATGGGCAGGATGGATGATGGCCGTGGCAGAGGATATGTATACAGAGGCAGAGGACAGGCTAGGCAGGCATCCATCCGTGGCAGGGGGATGTTCAGGAGAGCGGGCAGCAGGGAGAGGATGCCAGATAGGCGGTCAGGCAGCAGGGAGAGGATGCCAGAGGGACGGTCCAGCAGCCGAGAGAGGGGACTGGGTGGATGGTCAGATAGCCACGAGAGGGTATTCTCTAGCCGAGACAGAGAGCTAGCTGGGCGGATGGGCAACCGGGACAGGGGACGGGCGGGTAGCCC